GCAGGCAAAAAAATAATTTTATAATTTTTATTTGCAACAACCTAAATAAAATTAATGGTGATCACTTTTTGTTATAAATAAAAAGTTTTAAATTTAAATTATATGACATGTGGATGAGATGATATAAAAGATAAGAGATAATTATCTTTCACCATAACTAAAAAAAAATCTTATGTGAGTGATTTTGTGGTAGGCTTACATGATTAGAGATTTTTCCAAATAAAGATTATATTTAATAATAGGTTAAACCTTCATTTTGATCCCTCAATTATTATACAGACCTCCAATTTAATCCCTCGACTAAAAAAATCCCTGACTTAATTCCTATTGTTTATCATTTTAACCCCAACTTAATCCTTTTGTTAATATTCCGCCTACGTGTCCTGTTACTTGACAGAGAGAAACATGACACAGTAAAACTTTTTTGACACATAAGATCTACAAGGTGGCAAAAACAATGATGTGGTAAAAATAATTAAAAAATTCTTTTTTCTTTTTCTTTTTCTTTTTTTTTTTCTTTCTTCCTTTATTTTTCCTTTTTCCCTTTCTTCTTCCTCTTCCTTTCCTTTCGCCTTCTGCAAACCCTAAAACCTTCTAAACCCAACATGCCTGGGTTTGATTGAACCCAGCACACACTAGATTCGATTGAACCCAACACACCTGGGTTCGGAAAGAACCCAGATCTGGGTTGCACTTTCCATTTTAAATTCAAATTAAAGTTAAAAAAAAAATCAAAGAAATACCCAAATTTATTTGATTCCAAAATTTAATGCTTTCCAATTCTACAAAATCAAATAAGTAACCAAAATAAATACCTAGATTTGCAATTCCAATTCTTATCATTCAAATTTTAATGCTTTCATACCCAAAATTGCAGCAATCAAGATTTGAAAAATAAAACCTAAATACAAATGTGAGTGTAGAAGGAACTTAGATCTAGATTGCCTCTTAGAGCTGGATTTCCTCGCATCCAAAATCGACCTTCTCCTTCACATGATATTCACATAACAAAGGGAACCCAGCAAGTAGTTTAAACCCTCATTAAATGCCCTCTCAAACCTTCTAAAAAACCCTGAAAAATCAAGGTATCTTCAATCAAACCCAACAACAGTTCTTCAATCGAATCTAGCATTCTTCAATCAAACCTAGCAAGGGTACATCAATCAAACCCAACATTCTTCAATCAAACCCATCAGGGATTCTTCAATCAAACCTAACAGTGCTTGTTGGGTTCGATCGATGAAACCAGCAAGCGCTCCTAGGTTTGATCGATAAACCCAACATGAACCCAATGGCACATGTTGGGTTCATAGATTGAACCCAAGAGTTTGATGAACCTAGCAGCACCATTAGGTTCATCGATCGAACCAAGGAGCACATGCTAGGTTCATCGATTGAACCCAGCAACGTTGTTGGGTTCTTGCTAGGTTCAATCGATGAACCCAACAGGCGTTCCTGGGTTCAATTGATGAACCCAGCAAGGGCCGTTGGGTTCATCAATCGAACCCAACAAGTATCGTGCAACTAGGTTCTTGCTAGGTTCATTGATTGAACCCAGTAGGCATCAATCAAACCCAAAGTCCCTAAGGCCAACGAACGAGGATATGGGGGAAGAAGATGAATGCTAGAGATGAAAATGAAGGGGTTAACGAAAAGAAAATGGAAAGAAAGTGATGTGTGGTTGAAGATGAGGGTAAAGAAGTAATTTTAGTTTTACAATTAATTTTAGATATTTTAATTTTTATTGAAAATTACGTGTAAGTTTTATATGCCATGCTGTCAATCCTAAATGTCAAAATATTTTCACATGTCATCATTTTTTGTCAACTAACGGGACATGTAAGTGGTTTTTAACAGAGGAATCAAATCGGGGTTAAAATGATAAATAGAAGAGACCAAATTGAGGTTAAAATAATAAACAGTATGGACCAAATCAAGAATTTTTTTGAGTTGAGAGACTAAATCAAGAATTTATACAATAGTTGAGGGACCAAAATGAGGGTTTAACCTTAATAATTTGACCCTTAATTTTGAGCACGTCCAATAATTAGCAGACTAGCTGAGTGAGTTCCCGATCAACATTCATGGCCAAAACCCAAGAGATGTCAGATCAAACCGTCCCCAAGATTATATATTTAATAATCGACCCATACCAACACCTCCACATCACCCTCAATCCCGACGGCACCTTCACGCGTAACCCCACCGTGTACCCTGTTAAATGGTTTGTAAACATTAACATCACACGTCTCAAGAAAGAATAGGAATTTAATTAAATTTATAAAGGTTACTTATTATCAATAAATAATTAAATAAATTAAAAATCAAGGCAACTGAAGACTTACTCTTTATATTTACATTTAAAAGATGGTCATTTGGACACTTGGAGAATTTTATCTTAAATTTAAACATAATTTTTTTGCAGTTAAAAGGATATTTTGAGGCTTGACCTATCAAAACCATAATATATGTCTGAAATTTAAATATAATTTTTGATAATTAAAAGATATTTTTATAACATAATATCTCTTTGTAAGAATATATCTCTACAAATAATAACTATTTAGACAGTATAAATTTTATACAAAATTAGAGTTCTCCATTTACTTCTAAAAAAATTTTAAATTCTGTTATATTTTAAAAGATTTTAAATTAAAAAAAAATAAAATTACGTCCCAAAACTTTTCTTTCATTTTTCTATTATTTCTTGTTATTTCTTCAACATACCCCACGGTCGAAGCCACGCCGGATCCCAACCACCTACCCTGGTCCTCTCCAAAGACATTCCCATCAACTAATTAATCCCCCAAACAATACTTGGGCTCGCATCTACCTACCCCGCCAAGCACTTGATATTTCCCCACCGGCTACCAAGTTTCCCCAGATAGTCTATTACCATGGCGGAGGGTTCAAACTCATGAGTGCAGACTCGACCTATTGTAACTATTATTGTTGGAAATTTGTGGTTAGAAAACATGTCATTGGTTTTGGTTTAAAAATGTGTTGCAAATACCACTTTCCCTTAAATTAATTTTGTTTTCACCAAATCTAATATGTAAAAAAGAATAAGTCAAAATACTCGTAAGATACAATGAAATATCTTGTTGATTTTGGTTTTGCACCGGTAAAATTAATCATTGAATTATCTTTTAAAAATTGACAAAATAATAATTTTTATATAAAGATTTATATAGCAATCACAATACCAAAAGAAATTATTTTATTTTAGATAATAGTAAGAATTTGTTTTTATATTTAACAAACCTAAAAAACGATTACTCCATATTTATAGAGACAAAATATTTATTGAAAATAAATGTTTTTTTTAATTTATTAACTAAAAATATTTAAAATTTTGTTAAATTTATTTGTTGAAGATTCTTTCAAAAGTCATTTAATTTAATTTGATTTGAATTTTAATTCACATGTTTCTTTTTTTTTTCCAAAGTTATCTACTTTTTCTCAATAAATTTATCAAAATTATATCTTTTAAAATCTTACTTTTTAAATTCTGAATTTACGTAAATGGTACAAACCATATTTGCATGATTCAAACCGAAATAATACTTTCTCAAAATGCATTTTGTGCAATTGATTCGGACCTTCTTGTAATTCGGATCCAAATCTTTGAACTATTTTGAAAATTCTTCAACAAATTTTGCGTCAACATCGCTGCGGAACTCCGGTTGTCATCGTATCCGTCGAATACTGGCTGGCTCCCGAACATTGTCTGCCGGCAGCTTATGATGATGCGGTGGAAGCGCTGTACCCTATCAAAGCCAGCTCAGAAGAATGGCTGGTAAAATACGCCGATTTTTCAAACTGTTTCCTGATGGGCAGCAGCGCCGGAGGTAACATCGCGTATCATGCGGGACTGCGAGCGGCGGAGGTGGTTGATGAGCTGGGGCCGTTACGAATCAGAGAGCTGATACTGCATCAGCCTTTCTGTGGCGGTGGTGCCCAGAGAAGAGGATCGGAATCGAGGAATCTGAATGATCCCGTTTTCCCGCTAATCATCATGGATAAGATGTGGGACTTGTCACTGCCAGCCGGGGCTGACCTGGATCACGAGTATTGTGAAAATGAAAATTGTACATGCGTTGAATACAAGGATTGTGTTCAATCTAAAACTAATTCACAATAAATAAAATAAATATTTTGATATTTAATTTATAAATTTTTTATTTTTATATTCGGAGATTTTAATACTTGACAAGTATTGCAATCCGACGGTGGAGGGTGGGTCAAAGGTTTTGGGAAAGGTAAAGTCAGAAGGATGGAGGGTGGTGGTGGTTGGGTGTGAGGGGGACCTGCTGGTTGACGGTCAGAAGGAGTTGGTGAAATTAATGGAGGTAAAGGGCGTGGAAATGGTGGGACATTTCGCCGCCGGAGGTTATCACGGGATGGAAGTGTTCGATGTTTCAAGGGCCAAGGATATGTTCGTTATCATGACAGGTTTCCTCTTATCATCCAAGCCAGTCATTTCTCCTACTTCTTTCCCATAATAATTGTTGTAATTTTATTTTTGTTACTTAACTTTAATTATTTATTATATTATAAAAAATTATGGTTATTTTAATTTTTTTGAAGGATAAAACAGCTAAAAATAAAAAATATCTAAAATTTTTAAATTAAGTATTGAAGCCAAAATACATCTATTATCTTAAAATAAAAAAAATATATTGAGTATAAACCTCATTTTATTTTTTTAATTAACCCACTTATATATTTTTGAACCTAAACTCACACAAAATATCTTACTTTCCTTAAAAAACAATTACCATCTATAATGGTGAAATGTAAAATATACATGTAATACTGATATATCTCTTAAAATGTTAAGTGTTTAAAAATTTAAAATTATGTTATATTAATAGCTGTCATTCAAAAAAAAAGAAAACGTTATTTCAATAACATCAAGTTATTGAACAATGGTCTATTTTGAGACAATAATTTGTTAATAGATATGTGTGATCTTTTTTGGGTGACCCACCGAATAATGATCCAATCGATAACATATGGCAACTTGGAAATTTTTGTTGAAGACACTGTAGTTCAATTTGGAGTTCGGTGACGTAAATGTTATAATTTTTTTTGAAAATAGGTAATGGAACGTAAATGTTATAATTGTGAAAGTTCAGCGATTGGAAATTTTGTTAAAAGATAACGTAGTTCACTGACAATTTGGAGTTGGGTGACGTAAATACTATGATTATGAAAGTTCAGCGACCTCGAATGATATTCTTCGGCATGGCTTTCATTAGTTTTTTTTTTTTATATGAACATCTGAATAGTTTAGTAATAATTTTTTTTACTAAAAATAAAAAATTTTAAATTCGAGTCACATAATATATTAATAAAGTAAAATAAATAAAAAAAAATTACCTTTCATTATACACTTAATATATAAAAAAAAAAAATTTAATTTCCTCTCTACTACCATCTTAAGAAAGTTTCAAGAAAAATCAATTTTTAAAATTGAAAAGTTTTTAGTATTACTTGGTCTATAACACAACATACATACTGATGCTCAAAAACAGAAATGATCATATATAAACAAGGAAAGTAAAAACAAAAGCAGAAAATCTAATTTGTTGATACTTTGTACACAAAGGCAGTTCGAAGCTAGCTTGAAGTACTTTGGGAGCATGAGCAACTCAGAAAAGATGACACTACTAACTCTCAAAACATATCTTGATAAACAGCACTAAAATACCGTTAAAGTTATGATCCCAAAGTGATTAGCATCAAGCAACAGCCCTTTGCGTGGAATCGCAGGCATTGTCACAAAACTCTCCAAAAAGCAGACAAATTGTACAAAGATCTAAACCATATATGATTTTTTTCTCTACTTACATGGACTACCATTTACAGAGTAGTTGGAACATCATGGCCGTGGGTATGGCGGCCAGAAGAGTAGGCTGAAAGTGCTGATCCAGTCTTGCTCAGTGAGTTCTTAGCAAGGCTTACGCTTTTCTTAGTAGCCACCCATATGGTCCAAAAGAATCCAATCCAACCTGATTCATATGAAAATTCCAAATTATCTACCAAAAAGAACGTAAAATTTCATATCAAACCAGCGAAGTAGAGAAGAAATCCACTGTGAAGAATATTATCTCTCAGACTTTAACCAGAAACGGCTATGGATATTGACATTTTGAAAGAATGAACTAAGAATCCATTTTAATAACAACACTAATAAGTCACTTACCAACAAGAGTTAGTACCTACTAACCATAAAAGCTTAAGTTGGACCCGCAAGGGGTGGCTCAATGGTAAAGAGTTTGAGATTCCAAGTTGAGATCTCAAGTTTGAACCTTAAATCTGATAGGAAAAGATTTAGGGAAAGGGGAGGGTCATCTCCTCTTGTATAACCCATTATCATCAGATGCACCAAAAAAATAAAACCTTAAATTGGAGTCAAAACTAAGGATTCAAACCTTTGTAGTACCAAATAGCTAACCCCCAAAATACCAAAAATAAACTAACAAGTCAAGTTAGCCAATAGATTTGTTTACATCCACCCTTTTAATATGATTCTCATTGTAATGCTTTAGCATAGGATCTGGACAACAGATTAAAGGCCTAAACTCCGTTCCTTACACTTGGAAGATCTATCTTTTCCATTTCACTACTTCCAGATTTCTATCACAGTTATCACTTCAAATACCAAATTCATTGTATGTTATACATCAAGGAGATGCTATAGATTGTGGCTTTTAAGTTAATGTAAAAGTACCGTTAGTAATGGAGTGATAAGAGTTAAAAGATCAATAAAACATGAGACACCTGAACGAGAAAATTTTAAAGCTGAAGCTCAAACAGATACATACCTGTGACTATCAGAACAGCTGCAATTGCTGAAATTGTTGCAGTAGAAATAGTAACTACGGCAACCGATAATGCACCAATATAAATAGCCATTACACAAATAAAGAACAGAGCCAAGAAGCCTCCTGCAGCAGCCAAAGACATGAGAAGAGAGATGACTACGGCATTGACAGTTGCAGCCAAAAAGAAAAGCACAAATATAAGCAATCCTGTCAATGTAAGAAGAGAAATAGTTCCAGCCTGCAGAAAATTCAGCAACAGATTACAGTATGCCTAAAGAATATAAAGCAAGACTGATAGCTCATTCGAAAATAAAAATAAAAATAAAAATAAATGATGAAGTGAGTACCAAAATAAAACCTGGAAAATAGAAAAAAAAAAATTTGCAATCCAAACTGCAAAACATTAACTATTGCGTGATGAGGGGCCTTATAATGAGTGCTAACCCCTTGATGGAATGGCTGGTGTTTTACAGTTCGGACTACAAAACACTGGACTCAAATAGAAAGCAGCTCAAAGCAACAAAAATCATTTTTCTTCCTTGTACTGTAGATAAGGCTATAAGCATAATTTACAGCAGATCATATCAATTCTCATTCTCAATCCATAAAAAAAATCATATGGTATGCCAATAATTGATTATCTTCTCAAAAGCAGATTCTCTTTCAATAACCATGCTGTATGGCGAGAAAATTGATCTTCCTTCAAAGGAAATTATTAATAATACTTAACATGAAAATAGGAGAAAAATCACTTGAAAGGTTCAAATCGAACTGAAAATAGGTTCACAAAATCAATCTGGATTATAATACAAACATTTCTAAAAACTCACAGAGATAACGAGGAGTGCGCGGAGATGGCTGCCTCTGCGAGTCCAGAGGAGAATATGCTGGCCGGTGTTTTTGCAAGCCTCAGGAAGCTGATGCCCGTTCTCAGAGAGAGATAGTTTGATTCGCTGCAACAGCGGGGTTGACGCAGCACTGCTGCTCGGATCAGGGAAGAAGATCGTCGCCAGCACACGGTGGAGAATGCCGTAGAGTGTCTCCTCCCGGTGGATCCGCTTGGCTTTGTGGTGCTTGTCCCCCACCGGTGCACCGTTGACCTTCTCCGGTTGTTCGTGATGCTCCGCCATTTCCGGTGCTCGCAGCTAGCAAATATCAATGGCGATACGGGAGAGATTGTGGATTGAAAGATTCTGTAAAGTATCAGTGTATGATCACTGATTAAGCGCCAGGTGCCCTGATATTGTATAATTTTTTTTACTGCTAGTGTTTTCCCCGCTTACCTTTAAAATATTAAGAAAAAAAAAAAAATAATTACTTTAATGGTAACAATTTTTCGTACAATACTATACATGTTATTAATTTTTTTTTTTTTTTGACAAGAGTAATGGTTAGGAGGTTAGTAGAGTTAAATGTTAACAATTGAAATTTCTCAGATAGGTGAACATTCCACCTTCTCATATGAGATGAGGCGCAGTGGCAAGGCTTCGGTGCAGTAAGTTGGTGGAGTTCACGGCGGTGGCAGGGCTTCTCACCTCCGCCTCAACCAAGCCTTATGGCTTTAGGGCCAACCACTGGAGCTCAAGCCCGTTGGCTACATGTTATTAACTTGTATTTACCTACTTAATAATGGTAACAAATGAAAATTGTTTTTCTTTATCATAGAATAATTATTTTTTAATTTTTATTTTTAATTAAAAATTAAAAAAATCAAGATATAATAATTATATGATAAATTTAATAAAATTAAAATTTATATTATATCTTATATACTTAATAACTATGATTTTTTTTTGTTAGTTGCATAATGAGACACGATCATTTTTCTTCTTTTATTTTTATTATACCCGCATATCAGATGAGTCAAATTTAAGATTTCTTACTT